TGGCTCATAAAAATGCTGAAAGGTTTCTCAGAGACAATTTGATATAGAACTTGGAGAGAAAACAGGTATAAATTGCAAAAAGCCAGCATTTCAATTGATTAATCTTTTTTTAAATATGCTAATCAAATGAAAAGGGTGTTGCTGATTCTCAGACAGATTTGTTAAACTATTAATACAAATATGTCCATATTGCAGGTGGCATTTGAAGAGGTACCCCTCAGTTCTCTCTCACGTAGGAATATTGTCTCTTCTAAAGTGATTGCCTATCATGCCATGTGTACATTACCTGAAAAAAGGTAATGTACACATCTTCTTAACCATATTTACAAACATTTGATGAGTTGACTGACACACCATTAGGGTGCAGTCCTATGCATATTTAAACCAAAAAAATCCTATACAACTCCCAGCATTGCTCAGGCAGCTTTTAATAGTTTTTATGATTTAAGTTCAGTATAGTTATAGCCCACACCAGCCAGAGTCCTGCTTGGGACTATTGGGTGTGGTTTTATGAATGAATGAATGAATGAATGAATGAATGAATGAATGAATGAATGAATCAGTAAGGGCATGAAATGGAACATTCTATAAAGGAAGTCAGAGTCTTGAGTATGCAAAAGCTGAGCAGGATAGAATGAGGGTCAGAGGCAACTTACCATGTAACAACAAATAAGAGTTGGGTAGGAGTCCAATCTTCACAGAACTTATCATTGTGGTTATTATTAAAGCGTTAGGGCTTTTAAACAAACTAGATGCCAGTGTTGAGGCGCTGACTATCTTGGGTACAAGAAAAGGGGGAGAAATAATAGCTCACTTGATCCAGAAAGCTCACCATTTAAGCACACATACCCTCTGGGCCTGAACTTTTCTTGATCCTGTCCAAAGAGTGAGTTGGGGAAGCCTGGATGACTGACTGCAACAGATGCTGCATTATCCCACTATATATGACAGACCAAAAACCATAGATCTCTTGACACAATACCTAGCAAGACTCCTGCCTTTTCAGTAGGTTGCACTGTTTCTTGAGTAAAAATAGAAAAGGCATCTTCTGAGATAGAAAGCACCATCTTCCTCAAGAAGCGTAGTTTAATTGTGAATATCAATATAAATGTTATTTATAGGCACAGCTCAACAGAGTTCATATTTATCATGTGTCTCATTTATTGATGGAACCAAAAATGAGCTTTAATCTACTAACCAGTTGTAATGGATTTTTTAATTTTGCTTCTCTTGTTGTAATTCACCTTTTACTTTCATCAAGGCAATTATATTCAAACACTACTATCTGCAAATCCATTCAAAACTGTCTGACAGTTGCAATAGGCTTCTCTCTCTCTCTCTCTCTCTCTCAGCAGAGATGGCTGCAGTTGAATTGACCAACCCATGGACCACAAAAGCCTTGCAGGAGGGAAGGTCATGAGCTTTGGGGAAACATCACTCATTAAGCACATAGAAGTGTGAAATGGATGGGAGATTGGATTGAAATGAATTTTTTCCTAAGCATCAAAAAATGGAAAGGGAGTGCTTCCACTGTGCATGTAGGAATTTGAATTCTGGTCTTTTCTAATTTCATGAGTCAAACAGAATGCTTCTTCTATAACAAGTATAAATTCCTAGATGCACAGTGCCAATGGAAGCATTCCCTTTTCATTAACACTAATCCATAAGGCTTGCCAGATAATATTGGACCTGTCACTCACTCTCTTTTACAGAGTTTGTGTTACCCTCCTTCCAACCAAGAAAAAAAAAGGGTGAACCTCATGTGTGTTGCTTTAAACTCTTGGAGAAAAAATAGCTTATTACGAATCCATTCTTTAAACAAAACTAAGGTCAGTGCTTTTATTTGCACTGAAGTATCCCAAGCTATCACTTAGTCTAATTTCATACTTAAATTTTACAAGTTAAAGTACATTTTAAAGGGACATAGCTGCAACTATGAATTTTTACTCACTGTAATGTATGGGAACAAACCTCACACTGGATCAAATGTAAGCAGCCTAATGATTTGCACACACAGCTGTGAAGATAGCTTAACAGGTTATTCGGCTTAGTTTGTTCCAGGTTGCTTGGGTTGAAATTCTGGTTGAATAAACTCAACATTTTGCCAGTTACAGAGGTCTGAATTACAAAATTATTTCACTAGGAAATGATACCAATCTACTTGAGTTCCTTTCTGTAAGAACTACATACATGAAAGAATTAGTACATAATAAAATCGAGTTAGGTACATGCTGTCTTAATGTAGCATTGCTAGAAGAACAGTTTTTATTAGAAAGCAGAGTGGAGACCTTTGCCAGAAAATGGTAGTAGCCATCTGTCTACTGCTGCAGATCAGAACAAGACACTGCAGCCTGTTACCTCTAGTGAATATTTTTTCCTCAGTGCGGTATCTGTAGCTGGTGATGGACTACATCAGAATTCAGAAGGGTCAGTTCAAACCTCAGATATCCACTCATGGAATGCCCCTGGGTAACATGCTTTCAGAACCATTTTGTATGTGTAAAGGCAAATTACAATTGATCAATGCTTCCTGTTCTCTCCTCTACATCATGCCCAAAGGTAACTTGCAACATTTCACTTCTTATGTAGTATGCAAGTATCCCTGTACAAGATGGCTACATGTCCTACCACAAGGGGGGATGCCAGATGGGTATGCTGGAGAATAGGATGCACCAGTCTAACTGTGATTGTACAATGGAGAGCACCGGAAGTACATTTGAAACTACTTTGGCATAGGTTATACGGATGGGAAACTTGCAAAGCTGGGAGGATGAAATTAAGCGTTTTGCTATATTGTCTCTCGGTGTTACAGATTGTTAAAAAGGATTATGAAGGGCATGAATTAAAGTGTACTATATCTTGTGTCTAAACACCATATGGAAAACACTGAATTACAACAAAGAGGAGTAAATGGTAAAAATCTGTCCTTTTGCCAGATACTCCTTTTCCAGAAGCAGATAGTGTTCTCTTGTGTTCCACCTGCCCTTCAGCTTTCTTGTGCTCTTCTTGTCCTTCTGCTTTCTCCTCCTCAGTCTACCATCAAACAAGTAGGAGTTGCAAAAACATTCATCCCATAAAAATTTGGGAAATGTTTTTCCACAACCTTCAGATTTCGCTATCTCAAATGTTATCAGAAATTACACAAAAGCTATGTGAAACTGAACTCCATAGAAGGGTCAAACAATGCTCCCCTCAGGATTAAGTTATGAAAATGATAATCAGATATTCTGCTTCCTAAACTAATGCACTCCAGGGGTATTCTGAGACTGCATTCTAATCACAGGCAGAATGAATTTCATAAACAGTGTCCCCCATCTAGTTTTATTCTTTCTTGCCTATAAGGCTAACTCAGTGCTCACAGTGGAAGAACACAATGTAGCACACCAACAGATTCTGCACTGCTTTTGCTTGTAAGTGCTTATAAAGCTGATTAAATTAGCTCATCAATACAGGATGCCTCTGTTGCTTCAACTATTTTTAAACAAGTAGAACCCAGGGGAATGTTTTAATTTTGTTACATAAGCTTAGTTTGGTTTTTCTGCTACCAAAGCATCAAAACTTTGAGTAGGAAAGGCACTGATTGGGTTCATACAACAGCCCATACTCAAGGCTCAGCTGTGGGTTCCTGTGTTGCATATACCCAGTTGTGCTAAGAAACCAGTGTCTGTTAGCTATGTACAACCCAGAAAGCGATGCCATGGCTTGTTGGGTTGTGAACTGTGGGTTTATGATTAACAAACCATGGTTTGCTTGCACACTCAGGTTCACACAATAACCCACATTGCAAGAAGAATCCATGAATCAATTGCAGCCCACATTCAACCTTGAGTATGGATTATGTTGTGCGAGTTAATTCAAGTTAAGCAAGGCCACTCTATGATGAACCAATTAAAATATACTAAGTGCTTCCCAAAGCCAAACAAGTGCTATTAAGCATATATGGAAAATGTTAACATGATACACACTTGTTTCATTCCTTTCCAGAGGCTCCTCAAGGCTCTGGAACTCCTTTTTCAAGGGAGGCGCCTCTTATCTACAGTTCAGCAGCCCTCTGAAGAACGGCGAAAGCCTTCCTCTGTATAAGGCGTTTCGGGGTCATTAATGAATTTGTGCCTCTGAACTGTACTGCATTTATCACCAGCAATGTCTTACCATTTTAAAGGCTGCCTTGTATTGTTTGAATTCTGTTGCCTTTTCTAATTCATCATTAATAGCCTTGAGCTTTTAAAGGAAAGATGGGATATACATGTTTTGAAGAGATTAATGTGCAGATTACCATGAAATATACAATTGAACTATGAACTACAGAAAATGCATTCACATGTCTTACTCCACAAGACATGAAGTAGACTTATGTGCTTGTTTTCAATGCATGTATCTCAATTTCTTCGAGATGAGATTTCTTTTGGAATATTGCCATCTTATTCAGGCTCCAAGTTCAGTACAATAGAAAGCTTGTAATATTAACCAAATTGCTATTCAAATTGGAAAATAAGTATAAAAAACCAAATGTCTGAACATTTTGAAGTCATCTTATTCTGCTGCTGTTCCTTTAAAATTTTGTCCACTCTCCACAAACCCTGACCAATTAATAGTGTTCTTGGATGAAAAATAAAGAACGAGAGTACACCAACATGCAAAATGATGTCTCGAATGCACTTCAAACTGCTCTAAAATACTGATTCCTAAAGTGGTTGGGTAAAATAATTAGGGCACAATATCAGAATTGCAGCTTCATAGGAAACCACCCACATGATTTCATTAGTTAAAGGCTTTGGTTTGTGCTTCTTTAAAATAAAATGTTACAAAATAAATGCCACAGTTCTATACAAAGTAGTTGTAGCTTGACAGGAAAATACCAAGCTGTAGCTTACAATCAAACATGATGTATAAGAGAAAGTTAGTTGCGTACTGAAAGCCAACAACTTCCACCACATTTCTACCACACAGCAAGGAAAGAAAGCTAATAATTGGTGACAGTGCAGACAGACCGACACGGCTTATGCCTGATAGAATTTTTATTATTATTATTGGACAGATGAACTAAAATAAGCCAACAATATAATTATATGCCAACAGCCATCTCTCTAGCACAGGTGGCAACAGACTTGTGTGTCCCTTTCCATCCTGTTCCACACCCCCAGTTCAATATAAAATAAATGGTCATGGCTTTTATCATTGGATTTGGACTTGATTCTCACTACTTCAGTTCTGATATTTGTGTCTGGGAAAGGAGATGTGGAGCTGGGCAAAGAAACGGGGAGAAATAAGCAAAAACACATTTGTGGATGCTCAAGATCCACAGGCAGGTATCCTCTATCCACCAGGTAGACTAGAGATCCACATCCATTAAATGAGCTGGAATCCTTATTGCTACTCCAGTTGAACCAAAACTCTGCTTCCCATTACAGGCCGCAAAGAGCTGGATGCAAATGGTCTGGATAGAAGGGGAAAGAAAAGGGTCAATTTAAGTAAAAGCAAAGACAAACCTCAATGCCCCTCCCAACAAAGCAACAAAATATCTGCATCTTAAGCCACTCCACAAATTAAAGTCACTTCTTATATTTTAAAAATGGCAGTACCACCATTCTAGAGAGAGACAGAAAGGTAGAAAAGGTCTTGCATTCAAAGACTCCCCCCAAGGGGGAGAGAAGTGGGCCATGAAAAAAACAAACTCAAAAGCAATAGCCCAACTCAAAAATGTGGTTCTTCGCTAAAAACAGCACTCATCATCCATGACAAAAAGGAAGAGGGGAGAAAGGGGAGGAGGAAAAAAATAAAATAGAACTGGTGCAACTTCTCGCCAAAGATGATGCATTTAACAAAAGCGCCATACAGTCCCATATGTCTACATGTCCTGTGGTGGCAGCATAATTGCTTAAACTGTCATGGCTGTGTATGTCTGTATATACATACATATACATATGCACATATACATACACATACACACAGAGAATATAGAGTATTTTTTAAAAAAATGTTAGCATTAGTTTTGCTCCTGTTGGGAAAACTCATCTCTCCTTCACATGGTTCTGTGCTCCTGCGCTGCTGCTGCTGCTGCTGCCACTGCCACTCCCGCCGCTGCCGTTGCCGCTGCCATTGCTGCTGCCGCTGCTCCCGCTGCTGCTGCAGAGGACCTCTGTGAGGTCGTCCATTATGGTGGTTTCTTTAGGGTCCACCAGGTTGAACTCCCTGATGAATAGGATGAAGTGTATGTAGAGCGTGTTCAAATGTCCATGCAGCTCCAGTGCCAATGTTTCCTTGAAGTGTGACGAATAGATGTGGGCCAGCACATGGAACAGGTACTTGCAAATCTTCTTCACTAGAGACTCAAAAGAGTTAGGGAATTCCTTGCCTGCCATGAGAGAGTGTGACATGATGGAGAGAAGGCAAATGAAACAATTTAAGTGCAGTGAAACTCCTGAAATGCTTTAGCCATAAAGTAACATTTGCTCAAGCCAGATGCTCACTGTGTTGAATTATTCCTTTTCCTGTTCCATCTGGTGCACCTCAAATTAATAAGGCTGCAAAAGTCTTTGTTATGGCCAAATTATGACTGACTCGTTTTGGGGGAGACCCATATTTCACTTTCAGCCCCCTATCTATGCATGAACAATCCACAAGTTTCACCAAACTCTTTAATTCTGGTTTTGACTGCATTGTACTGGAGCTAGCTTTTGTCACAACAAAAACAATTATGTACCCAAAGGGAATTGTACAGGTACAGGCCCATCTGCACGTTTGTGTATTTTGGTAAGGATCAAAACCGCTGAACAAGCAGCATATGCAGTATCCTACACAGCACCTACACAAGTGGAAAACTTCTAGCACGATGGGAACTACTGGTTTCTAAAACAACGGAAAACAAGAGGCAATGCTCATTTCTGTAATGAGATAAGCCACTGTAACTTGTTCTGAAAATAAGAGTTTCTACATCTTTACATGCTTATTTCAGGATCCATTACTTGCTTGTTGTGTTACTGGGTCTGTTCTTCTAAGCAGTCAAGCAGTGGTAGCATAAACTGCTGATTATTTATATGCCAAAGCTTTGGCTGAGTTTTTTTTCTGGGAGACCACGTACCGTATTTTGTGGGGAAGACATCCTCATCTGTCACTAGCTTCTGCACTGAACTCATGACGAAGTCAACATATTGAGGGGCAGTACACTTGATCTTCTTTCCCCGCTCATCATACCAGTAGTATTGTCTGTGGAGAAAAGTGTCAACAGGGTAATATCTGTTCTGGATGTTTAGTTCCATGTAAAGCTCTAATCCTACTGTTCACTGAAACTGATGGTTCCACTGCAGCACCAGTAGCTGACCTGAGTTTAAGTGTTAAGGCTGAACTCACTTGTAATTTGTAAGGCAGCTCCATGATCCCTCATAAGGGCACTTGTACTTCTTCAGCAAGCAGATACTCAACAGGGTTGGCAACAGGACAGCACACTATAAGGCTGTACCTGGTTTCCAGCCACCCTTGTGGTATTCCAACAATAATAGAAGGCCCACTTGCAGCAGCATGGAATGCTGCTTTACTTGTGATGGCAGAGACTATTACCACAACTAAGAACTACACTTTCAGCCATCATGGTCATAAAAAATACTGATGAGAGCAACTACTGATTTGAAAGTCTGCCATGTGAAAAAACAAATAAATCCTTTGAGGCTACTTAGAATTTTTAGATGTGCAATATGCAACAGAAATAGAAGTAAGTCCTTTACATGCCACTATTTTGCTCCTTCCTTTGTTAGCAGATGGGAATATTAACTGCCTGTAATTCTAGGCACCAGTTTAAATGTATCTATCCAATGAATTCCACACTCAACTGTGCTACCCCCAGTTAACTATATGGAAGCAAAACTGTATATATGTTATTGAAGAATCCCAATTGTTCTCCTGGGTCTTGAGGCAGCTTAGGGTATATATATGAACTTTCAAGTGGAATTCTGCATTACAGAAAAATTACCCATTTCATGATGTGGAGCCACTTAAGTGTCATGACTTCTTGTTTACATTTCCTCTAAAATGCCTGTGCAAGTGGGAAGGCCTCAAGCTAATACCAAGAAAATTGTAGTGCTGCTGTAAATAAGGGCTCTTTGGGAAAAGCATAGTTAGGGCATCATTGCAGAAAACCCCTCCTCTTTATACAAACATAATGCACCCCTGCAAAAGACAGTATTTAGGAAGGGCCTTGATTTGATTTTTTTTTTAAATTAGTTGCACTATGTGGAGTCACATTATCTCCTTTTCATGAAAAGGCTTGAAATCCTTGCTTCCAGCTTAGCCAATGGCAGACTGTGCTCTCATATTCAGACTTAATAATATCTGACAGAGATACTAAGTATGACCACACAACTGAATATCTAGAGTTCCCAGATCCTGGTATTAATACGGATGGCTAGGAGTACACACAGTACAAAGTTAACTTCATGTAATAACATCAGCTGTCAGGAGATGGCAATAAAGCAACAGCCTGTTTTAGCAGCTTACTCAAGGTCAGACACTCACAGCTGATGCAAAGCCCCAAACTGAGTCAGGGCCATACTAGACTTGATGTTTTTTTCCATGTAATGTGTACTCCTTTAATGGCAGTAGCTGGAGGAGGGGGAAAAGATGCATTTAACTTCATGTCCTATGCAGTGTAATCCAGCCAAGATGTTTCAAGTTGCAGTGATGTGGCTTCATGCTGGGCCTCAGAATTGAGAGAGGCAGTTACCAGCAAACTGCTGTGATAAGGTCATTTAAAAATGCTAATAAAATTGCTCGTATTCTTTCTGATTTTGTCACCAGATTGAGAACAGGCTTTCAGATGGTGAGGTTGCTGCTTGTCCAGTTTCAGTGCATGAATTACACTTTGTCCAACCTGAGGAAATGGACAAGTTGCTTGAAGATGTAAAGCCAGTCACTTTTTGCTGTCTAAACATGCACAGGATTTCACCTAAACACATTCATTCTGCACTATTTACAAGATTTGTTTCTGCTCTTACTTTTGATGGTGTGATGTTTTAAAATTTTAATATTGTTTTCAAAGTCTCTAATTGCTAAACCTTGGGAGGGGGGATTTTTTGGCCTGAAAGACCATTCACAAATTTATAAATAAAATATACCAGAAATATGCACGTGGGTTTATACTTTCCTTGATTGTTTGGGAGGATACATACAACCAAGTTTCCTTGTGCCCAACTGAACTAGGCATGGCTCTTATTTACGTTTCTCAGTATCTCACTAAATTCTATTGGAAGCATATTTCCAGTTTCCATAAATGGACATTTTAATGTCTGCTAGGAGCAGTGCTCACAAGCTATATATCGCAATTTTCAGCCATTTCTATCATATCATTATCTATCAAATAATCAAGGAGTTAAATTTGTTCCTTTACATGATTCTTGCATTTAGAATAAGAAATCCCAGATGGCATTATCACAAACAAATTAAGCTTTGCCTCTAACAATGGGTGGTTTTCAATCTATTTTTGTACTGAAGTAACATGAGTTACCAGTCTTCATTAGAACTAATGCATGAGTCCTACATATCCGTTTGAGATTTGAGGTTTCGTAATAATAAGTGCCTTGGCTTCACAGTGTTATTGTCTAAAATAAAGGAAAGTAACTTTACCCTTGTTCTACGGGAAACAAACTGAAATACAAATAAGCATTTATGAAAGCCAACCATGTAAAATAAAAGTAACGCATACTTTGGCTCCTCTAGAGTCATTAAAAAATACATCCTTCAACCCATGTCTGCCAGCATCAATGAGTCACAGAGGAAGCCATAAAATAAGACTCGGCTGTATTTTTCCAAAGAGGCTAAGTTTCCTTCCTAACTTCAAGACTATTCTCCTTTTGCATAACAATTTGGAATCCAACAGGTAGACAGAAGTATCCTTGCCTACAGACTTCACTTTATCTGACATTGCTCAGCCAAATAACTTTCAGGACAGGATTAGAAGGGATTATTACAATAGTCTCAGTCTTTCTTCTGCCTCACTACAAAGCTTATTTTCTCAACTATCCCAGACAAGAGTAAACATGAATGACTATCCTAACATTAGCCCACTATTCATGTTTTGAGCGTGAAAATACCCTACACTAATTGGGGCAGCAGAAGTACTGAAAAAGAAGAAACTCTAGCTGCATATCATTCTTTGGGTCAATGTAAATCAAAACCATGAAGTTACAAAATGCATAGATTAAGACACTATAGAATAATGCTTTGAAAGTTGTGCACATCTATACTGACCATACATGCTAAAGGAAAATAAGCACTCTCTAGTTTCAAAGCCCAACAGAGTAGAAAGGACAGACATTACCGGAAACTTCAATACAACATTTCACTGTCAAATCCTGATGAGCTGAAATCGCAACCTATGAATTCAGGGCTGCATGTCCTGTTTGCTTGGCTCCTAAAGCTGTCCCTGACATCAGATATTGCAGTTTAGAACCAAACCTGTTCTGGCCAGGGTTTCAAGATCACATTCTTTACCTAATGAATAGGGCCACACATTTTCCATTGTACCAGGCAGCCTAGCTTTTCTGGACCTCACTGAGCAATCCTTGGTCACTTCTCCTTTTCTGCTATCTAAGCTTTACTTGGCATGCCTCCCCCTTTGCTTTAAAACAGGAAATTATACTTTGTAGGATAAGCCAGGCTGAAAGGGCTAAGGTGCTTACAGAAATTAGGCTAGTACTAACCATGCACATATGGAAAAGAGGTTGTCTAGAAGAAAATATAGTGCAATACTATGCTGGTCAAATGTTTCTCTTGATCCTTAAGCTTTGTGTACTTTGAGCACAGCCATTTTCAGAAGCAGGGACAGAATCTAAGAGGTAGTATATGGAAACCACAGTACTCACTTGTTCAGCTTAGTGTAATCAAAGCCCAAGCTTTAGGTTGTTCTGAGGTTTTGCATAGCATACCTTTGCAACAGTCACTCAGAGAAGAGATTGAATTCCAGATGAAAACATTCCGAAAGTTCAAGAGGCCAAAGAAAAATATGACTGCTGTCTGGTCTAGGCAGCATAACAAGAAAGTCTTGCTTTGGACAAATTGCAGGAGGAGTGCCCATTTTAGCAAGAAGGAAACAAAAGAAGAGCTCAAAGTAAGAAGCTTGATTTGCTGGCTGTTCATGTGCCTGAATGACCAAAAGTCTAGCACTTCTCAAAACTGCTGCCATGAATGGACTACCTTGTGGGCAAAGTTCACCAATAGAACGCTTTTGTTAGATTTGGCCATATTTGCAAAGATAAGATTTTAAAAAAGGGTCACAAAGACAGGTGGGTCTTATAAAAATACCTGCTCACCAAATCACTCACCACTACAGTACCAGGGACCCCCAACACAACAAAGCTAAATAGCCAGCAACTACAGTAGGCATTACTGACATCAGCCATGTTGCCACTCAGGGTTGAAGCCTGAAATGGATACGGCAAAGGCAAAAGCAGCTGCTGCAGTAATACTGATTTGGTGCCAAGGTGCAGCCAGTTGTGAGAGATGCATGTTCTTAAAGAAGCCAAAACAAACAGTGTGTGGGGGAAGCTGTCCAGTCTGAGCAAGAAGGACAGACAAATACATAAATGCCTTCCAGTTCCTATATACTTTGCTTACACAGAAGCACCTGGCTAGCAGGACTGCACACAAATGGGGATCACCCAAGCAAAGCTGCAGTTTGCAGACATAGTTGTTCATCTGTTCCAGAACACACAGAAAATGACTACTGTGTTTAGGTTGATCATAACAATTTAACAGGATTTCACCCAGATGCTGTTTTAATTCTTGCTATCCCCAAACAGCTGTAATTTTACTTTTCCAGAGAACTGAAAAAAATTACATGGAAATGACATGCCATAATACTCATGGATTTCTGTCCTTAATTAGGACTTGAACAGATAGCACTAAAATTATCCTATTGTTTTCCTTTCCATAACCTTCCAACAGCTTTCCTGCATTCTGTTCTTGGCTAATGTTTAGCCTGTTCCTAAAATTTAGGGCACTTAACAGCTTTCTTAATTTGTAAACCACCCAGAAATCTTCAGTTGTGGGGCAGTAAGTAAGTAAGTAAAGGCATGAAAAGAAGCAGTTATTCATTGTTCCATGGTAGAATTAAGACTAACCCTCTCACAAACCCCCAGAACTTCTTAAGCAATGCAACAGCCTGGGTACACATAATCCCTTCCCAAGTATCTTCTTAGAAAATTTCCATGTCCCTA